TTGTCTATTATGAAAAATGTTGTGATAAACATTCATGTACAAGTTTTTGTTTAAACACCTGTTTTCAATACTTTCGGGTTTATACTTAGGAATGGAATTGCTGAGTCATATGGTAATTCTATGTTCAACTTACTGAGGAACTGCCAAACTTTTCCACAGGGGCCACACCGTTTTACATTCCCACCAGCAATGTATAAGTGTTCCAGTTTCTCCACATCCTCAGCAATATTCTTTTTTTTTTTTTTATAGCCATCCCAGGGGGTGTGAAGTGATATGTCATTGTGGTTTGGATTTGCATTTCCCTAATGACTAGTAATGTTGTGCATTTTTTCATGTGCTTATTGGCCATCTCTATATCTTCTCTGGAGAAGTATCTATTCAAGTCCTTTGTCTCCATTTTCTAACTAGGTTAATGAGTTCTTTATATATTCTGGATAGTAGAACCTTAACAGATACATGATTTGCAAATACTTTCTCTCATTCTGTGGGTTGTCTTTTCACTCTTTATAGTATCGTTTAGTACACAATATTTTTAGTTTTGATGAAGTAAAATTTATTTATTTTTTGCTTTTGTTGCTTATGCTTTTTGGTGTCATAACTAAGAGGTCATTACCAAATTCAAAGTCATGAAGATTTACTCCTTTATTTTCTTCTAAGAGTTTTACAGTTTTAGTTCTCACTTTCAGGCTGATCCATTTTGCATTAGTTTTTTGTATATGGTGTGAGGTAAGGGTCCAACTTCATTCTTTTGCATGTGGATATCCAGTTGTCCCAGTGTCAGTTGTTGAAGAGGCTAGTGTTTCTCAATTGAATGGTCTGAGTACCCTTGTAAAAAAAGCAATTGATCATAGATGTGTGGGTTTACTGGATGAACTTTGGTGAGACGAATTCATTTCTGTCACCAAAGGATTTCTTGTATGTGTTTTGTGTTTTTGGCAGCTGACTGGTACAGGGGTTGAACCCTGGACCTTGCTGTTATCAGCCCTGTGCTGTAACCAACTGAGCTATCTGGCCAGCCCCACCAAGGAATTTCTTTTATCATCATCAAGGCTTTTGAAGGAGGGAGGTTCTTTACTAATGTCAAACAGAACACTGACATTAACTCAGAGGGGAACTTCATCTTGCCACTGTAACTCTGTTCTTATTTTCATTTCTTTAAACATTCAGAACCATCCTTTCCCCTTTTTATGACAGATTTCTAATGTCAAATTCTTTTTGCCCTTAATAGACAGATGTACAGAAGATTTTAAGAAATGCAAGGAAACTACCTGAGAAAACACAGACATTCTATAAGGTGAGACTGTCAGAATTATATTGGAAGATGGTGTGCCCAGGATGTGTGCCCAAAATAAATGGTTCACAATAGTAAGAGTGTGGGGTAGCAGCATGAACCTGAGCAGGGATTAGAGCAAATTTTTTTTTTTTTTTTTTTTCATTTGGTGGCTGGCCACTGGCCAGTACCTGGAACCAAACCCTTGATCTCGATGACAAGGCTGTGTTCTAACCAGCTGAGCTAACTGGCCAGCCGTGGGCAGTGATTAGAAATGTATGACTTGTGCCTCAGTTTCTTTATCAGTAAAGTCAGTAGAAGTGATAGGTCCATTCCTGCCCCCAAAATCCATGAATTGGAAGTATTTAAATGGCCTGGTTCTGTACAGGAGCAAGGTTTCTCTGTGTTGGTGCTGCTGCTGTGAATGGTTGTGGGAAGTAGTTGAAAGGACCTGTGGATCATAGCCCTGAACCCTCCTCACCACCCCTATGAGTATCCAGTCCAACCCCAGGCAACCAGTATATGTGACTTCCTGGGATAGGGAATTGCCTAGAACATTCTTACTTCATCAGAGAAGATGCTTCCAGGAATGACTTCTAAAATTACGTATTTATGAACTGCAAACAGCATGGCCCTCCTGGATCATGTCTAGCTAATCCAGAACCATTTGGTGGGGAGAATAAAGTTACAATGGGTGGGGTGGAATAGGGGGCATTTAGGCCCACTTATTTTTCCTGTTTTCCTGGTGTTTGGCTTAAATTAAGTGCAGGATAAGATGTGCTGTGTCATCATTTGTGTCCTAGTTTGCTAATCTTGAGATATGGCGCACACAGTCAGCCTCAGGCTAGCATCTCTTCCAGAGAACATAGGTGCCACTCTGCCTGGGTGTTACGTTATTACCTGTAGGTCACTGTTATCTTCAAACCTAATTATGTAGCTAGCTGGTGAAATCAAGCAAAAGCAGATTTAATCAGAGTTCAACTAGAGAGCTTCTCAGCCAGCCCTCCCTAACTGAAGCTCATAATCCACACAAGCCCTGGATGTCCACTCTTTGGGTGCAGTCCCTGTCCCTCCCTGCAGAGCTTTCTTTCATCAGTTTTCTATTCAGATAACACACTTATACTTTGGCTGCCTTCTGAACTTTTCATTTTTTAACAGATGATAGTAAAGAAGTGCTCAGAGAGCCCATTTCTCTTTTTTGGTTTTATATAATCCTATGTATTTGTACAGGAAAGGGCCTCTAGCATCTGGCTGCTTCAGCCCTTGCAGTGGGCAGGGAAAGGGTTGTCCGCCTCATTTGTAAGTGAGGCCTCTGAGACCCAGAGAGACTATACAGCTTTCCCAGATCACACCATTGAGTGGTTGATGGGGCACTTTGTATTTCTCTGTTTCCGTCCACTACTCAAGCTTTCTTTTTGTGGCAATCTTTCCAGTCCAACTTCTCTAGAGCCTCCTCTGAACATGTTCATTGTTATTCAGTCTGAGGCCCCACCAGAGAGGCAGCAGAGGGTTCAGAGCCCTTTGAGATTTGGGGCAACTCTTTTCCATACCTTAATAACAGAGTAAAAGTAGTCCTCCTTAGTTATGAGTAAATGAAATGATATATGCAAAGTGCTTGCCACCATGTTTGGCATAAATGCTTATTTAACTGCGATGGTGATGACCTGTGTTTCAGTCAGCTCACTGTCTTTATCTAACTTCTGGTCTCCTGTAGAGGAACCACTTCCCAGTTATATCAGCACGGTCTCTTGTTACTGGCATCTCTGTATAAACATTTGTTTTCATATAAAAATGACCCCTAAAGTTCAGGGTCAAAGAGAACTTATTTGAAGCAGAGCACTAAGTATGTGATGAGGTAAACACATTTCAGGAATGTTGGTGTTTATCTTGTTTCAGGAGCTAAACCGATTACGAAAGGCTGCCCTGGCCTTTGGTTTCTTGGACCTGCTCAAAGGGGTGGCTGACATGCTGGAAAGGGAGTGCACACTGCTGCCTGACACAGCCCACCCCGATGCCGCATTCCAGCTGACCCACGCTGCCCAGCAGCTCAAGCTGGCCAGCACTGGCACCTCCGAGTACGCTGCATATGACCAGAACATCACACCTCTGCATACAGACTTCTCTGGGAGCAGCACTGAAAGAATGTGACTTTTGGAGCCTTCCTTCCTTTTCATTTCAAGTGAAAAACCTTCCCAGTATGTTCACCTCTGGAATAGTCACCCAAAGACCTCCTCCTGAGGCTGCCTCAGAAGCACCATGTGCTGGTTGGACTGATTCTGCTACAGTTTGGGAAGAGTCTGAGGGCTGGCTAGTTGGTTGGGCTTTAACTTTAGCTTCCTGGGGCTCAGAATTTTTAAATCCAAAAGACAGCTGTTGCTCCCATGATGGGCACGTCTCTTGATAAGCTTGAATGAATGATGAGCACAGAGCTCCTCCGCCTTCTTCAGGAAACCTGACCAGCAGGAGTTCTCTGGCTTCCTGAAAGCATCATCTCTTCCTTTCAGTTTTACATCTCAACTATAAGGACATTTCAAGCTTTTGTCCTTGGGATGAACAACCCAGACTGTCTGGGGCATGCTAACTACAAACCCATCACCACTAAGTTTCAGAACTTTCCTTAGAACTTGGGCAAAATGTGGTGATAATCCTTAGGAGCTTCTGGTTGATCTTGAGATATAGACTTTTAATTTTTTAACCCTTGACTTGGTGTTGTCAGCACCACGCTCAGCCAGTGAGCAAACCGGCCATCCCTATATGGGATCCGAACCCTTGGCCTTGGTGTTATCAGCACCACACTCTCCGGAGTGAGCCACGGGCCAGCCCGAGATACAGACTTTTTTTTTTTTTTTTCCTTTTTGTCTTTTTTCGTGACCGGCAATGGATCGCAACCCTCAGTGTCGCGCCCGTACCGGACCGGGACCGGCAACGGGATCACAACACTCGGTGTTGCGCCCGCACCTCGCTCAGCCAGTGAGCGGCTGGTCTGTATGTGGGATCCGAACCCTCGGCGGGAGCACCACCGCGCTCCCAAGCGGCGCACTATAGCAGTGCGCCACCGGGCCGGCCCCCCGAGATATAGACTTTTAAACAGCAACCACACATGTATAAAATGCTTCCTGTTTCTTTGGATTTTTTTTAAACAAATAAAATATTTGATTTTCTAATAAAATGGTTTTACTGTGAAACTAATGGTCCTTTGCCTTTTGATCTGTCCTATCAATCACTTGAATATAATTTCAACTTTTTAAAAAATTTATTTATTTATTTATATTATTTTTTTAAATTTTGTTTTGTCAATATACAATGTGGTTGACTATTGTGGCCCATTACCGAATCCTCCCTCCCTCCTCCCTCTCCCTAATTTCAACTTCTTAAGTGGTACAGAGTCATAAATCATAAGGTTTCTTTCCTTGTGTTCCATACTGACTTTCTCATTTCTGATGCTGACTGCCTAAGCCAGGTTTTGGCCAGTAAATTCTAACAGATTTCGAAGTCAGTTATGGTTACAATTCAACAGCTAGCTTCATGACCTTCGGCAAATTACGTAACTTCTCTAGGTTTTACATCATCAATGCTTTTCCAATTGCTCTCTGCACCGTTGATATAACTCCCTTAGGCTTCGACCAGAGCAACCTGCTGAAGTGCTATATAACATTTTGCCTGAACAAAAGACTTTTAACACTAACAGTTTGGAAACCATTAGATTAAATGATCTTTAAGCACAAGTTACTAGGATTTTAACTGTAAATGTTTTAATAGAAACACAATCCTTCACTTTCTCAGACAGCAGTAAAGGGGTCCGTAACAATTACTAAGAATACAGAATTTTACCACAATGATGCAGTATAATCTGCTGCAGTGCTGATCTGCCCAATTACAGTCAGCTGAAAGAACATCAGAAGTCAATACAAACAAGTGTTGACAGAAGTTACAAACATGCAAAATACCCTTCAGTGCAATGAATTTTAAAAAATCAGCCAGCCTATGCCAATCATGTTTTAGGTCAACCAAGTTTCCATCTTGGGCTCAGTGAAAAAGCATTAACTCGTTGAGTCTCCTTTCCCCTAGGAACAATAGGAATGGCAGAACAGAAAGAGCTATTATGCCTTAAATTCTTTCATACAAGTGTTACTTCTAACACTGATTTTACTTAGTTTACTTGGAATGTAATAGAGGAAACTGATGTTTTTTACAATGGCCTATCATGTCTAGATTTTTTTCAGTTTCCCTTTTGCTGGGATTTTTACCAGGAATCCTTGTTAAAAAATCTGGTGGTTTTCCACCCAATGTTCCCACTCTGTTTTCAGTATCCTACTGCAGACAGGTAAAAGCCAATCTAACACAGCAGAATAAAAGCACGTATTTTTAAGGTCTATTTTAAAATGTACAGTTCCACCACTCACTCGAACAAGTACACAGGTAAATGGACAGTACAGGGGAAGAAAGACTGACTTGGTGTGTTTAACCTATTGTAGTCTGGCCTACTCTAATTTTAGTTTCCAGTTTGTCACAGGCTGCATCACCAGCAGCTTTATTACTGCCAATTTAATCCACATACTCGTGTTCCCTTCTGACCTCTGTAGCCATTTGAGTTTTGAACTCTTATAATCTTACTGTTTCCTAAATAATGTTTCATCTTTCTTTAGTGTTAAAAAATAGTTCTTATTTAGCTAGGAATGAAATGATCACAGTGTTCCAAGGTTCTACTTGGTTTCTCTGTGCCTCTCCAATCAATGCCCACACTACTAAGCACTGTAGTAATAGATGTTAGGCCAAAATATATCACATGTAAAACATGTCCTCTAGACCCACTCTTAGAAAGGTTTCATCAATGACTGAGTCTACTTGACTTTCAAAAAGTCAGAGCCACCCCACTAAACAAGTAACCCCTTGGGGACAGAATATATTAGGACCTGCATGAGTCACTTTTAATAGCCTTTTACAGAACAATACAGTCTTGGATTTTTTCACAAGCAATAGATGAAAAGAACAAATCCCAACTGTAAGAATGGTCGGTACTTTACAGGAATAGAGCACTAAAAAAATACCTCTGGCATGTATGAAACTGACTGGACATGAAGTGAGGTGGGGGTGGGGCTGAGCATTTTGCTGTCATTAACTGAATACACAAGAATGAACCTGTCATCAGATATCAGGAATCCATGTCATGCAAATACTACACTAAGATAATACAGTAAATTCGGGAATGTTACTGGGGAAAAGGAAGATAGCCTCACCAAGAATTTAATCATTTAACTTTTAAAAAACTGTTACATCAGTGTAAGAGGGTAAAACTGTAAGATTCGTAGATTAGGCTCGAACTGGCAAGAAGCCATGTAAAGCTCTCTTTTTAGTGGACCTTTTTCTTTTTTTGTCCATAGCGCCGCCTGCGCTGTTTATAAAGGTGGCGGAAATTTATGTATAACCCTGAAAAAGAAAAGAGGCTGATTAGAAATGAGAATTTTTATCTTTGTCTACTTATAACCAGAAGCTCTTAGGGTGGGGACAGTCTGTTTTTCATATCCCACAGAACTAAGCTACTGTGGCTGCTCAGGAGGACTTAGAACAAATTATTAACAATGCACTACAGATAATCCAATTTTTCCTCAATAGGCTTGTAACTTAATTTTTAACCATATTTTATTATGAGATTTTCAAATTTACAAAAGATTAAATCATTGTACAGTAAACACCACCTAGATTTAAATTTAACTTTTTATTATATTTGCTTTACCACATAGCTATTCATCCCTCTATTCATCTCATTTTTTTAATCAGTACTTTATTATTTTCTATTACTGAATAATATTCTGCTGTATGGGTATGCCACACTCTATCCATCTCATTTTTGATGCATTTCAATGTAAACTGCAGACATCAACACACCTCATCCTTAAACACTTCATTAAGTTTAGTATTCTTTTTTTTTCTTTCTTTCTTTCTTTTACAGTATAATTAATATAAAATGAAACGCACAAATCTGAAGTGTAGAAACAACCCAATTTTGAATTCAAGGCTACTCAAGCATCTGTATTAAGCACTGTCTAAAAGGTACGAGATGGTTTACCAGGAAGCACAATTCAGTGAAATCAGGAAACACAATTTCAGAGTCAGAAACCGACGTCAGTCCCACCTGACCACTGACTAGTTCTGCACCTTCACCTTACCTCAGTTTCCTCATTTGTACAATGGGGTTAAAAACACATTTTACAGATTTGTGAGATTATGAACATTTATTTTAAAAAGTGCTTTGACCTGTGTACAAATGTTAACTGTTATACTGTTTCAAAACTGTAAACGTGAATTCAGGATTTATTTCATTCTAAAGAATAAGAGAAGAATAACTACTTATTCGTTATAGGCAGACTAAATATGAGCATAAAACCTTGCAAATTAGGATATTCAATATCAACAAGATGACAAGATACTAGGGTTAGTGCACATTAAAATATTCCTACCCCTCTAAATTTTTTAGTAAAATATTTGTGTCTTTCCAATACTCATTCCTCTCTATCACTTCCGTTACCACCATTTCATGGAGGCTAGTTATACTACTACTCAATTTATATAGTAATAGAAGTAAAGAGGTCTTTCAAAGAGTGCATTTTCCAAATTGAAGCTTACTCTCTTCAAGGGCCAAAACGTTTGAACATCCTTGGTTACAAATCTCTCTGAAATGTATTATACCCTTTGCTGAAATAGAAAATATGGAATAAAATTTAAACTTCTGCAAATGACCTAGACCCATAATGTGTATCATTTCACTGTACATCTACCATGTACTGATACCCCGAAGGGCTCCTAAAGGGTGTAGATCTCTTCTCCCCCAACACTAAATGACCAAGACCACTGGGATTTCTGGCTTCTTGGGCTCACTTTTTGTGGTCTTCTTGTCACTGCCTGGGGTAGCCAGCCTCCAAGATGATCCCCAATGATCCCTGCATCCTGGTATCTCATCCCCTTGTGTAGTCCCCTCCCACCCTGTACTGGCTGGTCTGTGTGATGGTGTGCCACTTCTGAGACTAGGTTATAAAAGGAACTGTGGCTTCGGGTTCTCCCTCTGATCACTTGCTCTGGGGAAAGCCATGTCATGAGTAGTCACATTAAGATGTACTGTGGCAAGAAACTGAAGCCTCCTGTCAACAGCTACAAGAATGAGCTTGGAGCAGATCCTCCAGCCCCGATCAAGTGTACAGAAACCACAGCCCCAGCTGACAGCTTGACTGAAACCTCATGAGAGACCCTGAGCCAGAACCACCCAGCTAGGCTGCTTCCTAGTCTTCAGAGACTGTGTGAAATGATAAACTGTTTTCAGCTGCTAAGTTTTGGGGTAATTTATTACACAGCAATATATAACTAACACTCTATCTGCTCTTGCATCCTTCTGTTGCTAGGAGACCAGACAGCTATACTTATTTAGGGCTACCTCAAGTCTTTTGTGAAATAAAGCAGGGACAAATACATAAATCAACATTAAGATGTATTAGAACTTTGGGCCGAGCCCGTGGCGCACTCAGGGGAGTGCGGCGCTGGGAGTGTGGCAGCGCTCCCGCCGCGGGTTCGGATCCTATATAGGGATGACCGGTGCGCTCACTGGCTGAGCATGGTGTGGCTGGTCTCAAAAAGGACAAAAAAAAAAAGATGTATTAGAACTTTGGGCCGAGCCCGTGGCGCACTCAGGGGAGTGCGGCGCTGGGAGTGTGGCAGCGCTCCCGCCGCGGGTTCGGATCCTATATAGGGATGACCGGTGCGCTCACTGGCTGAGCATGGTGTGGCTGGTCTCAAAAAGGACAAAAAAAAAAAGATGTATTAGAACTTTAACGCAAAGAGCCCTTATAGTTAGGAAGGCTCTTAAACTTCTCATATTTGTAATAATTTAGGTTTACTTGTTTTTCTCTTAGTTCTCAGTTTTTATGAATTAAGGCAGCAATGTATGGCTTTATATAAAGATAAATTAATAAGCAAGCAGGTTTTATCAGAGGAGCAGGGGGGCTTTCCTACTCTTAGGGAGAAGGCTTTATGACAACCCTTGGCTGCTGAGGCCTTCATTACCTTCTTCCTTCCTTGCTGCCACTTGTATTACCACCTCCCTACAGATACTACCCAGTATCTATTCCTGAATGAGGAATGTGCTACTGAAAGTAGGAAAAGTACAATGAGCTTCCTACTGTATTTTAAAAGAGCTCTTTACATTATTTTTGACAAGAAATACCTTATATTTCCAATGACCAAGAGCACTTCGAGAACATAATTCAACCACTAGAGATTTGGGAAGAAATATTTCCATTTCATAGCATATTCTAGTGGTCTGTTTTCACAAAGTAATCTATCCTCTTACTCTATACTACTTTTGGAAATAAGAATTCTAATAAGGACTCTTAAAACTTTGAATCATTTAACTCTACCCTCTAAGAAGTGACAGGAAAAAGTCTGTATTACAGAGTCAATACTTACCTAAAAATAACATTATAAGATAAATCTGAAGAAAAAAGGAAAATCTAACTTTCATTTTCACTGGATATGGCAATGTAAAACTGAATCTTCCTGTTTCATTGAACACTGGAATGGACTGGATCACTGAGACGGCTGCAAGCAGAAACAAGAGCTTGTTAGAAGCAAATGAAATAGTCACATCCAGCAACAGAACCTCCCAGCCTCTAGTCCTCAAGATTTCAGTTCTGGGTCTGCTGGAAATGCTTCCTCCTCCCTTTGTTCAGAAAGCTCAGGCCTCTTCTTTTCCCCCCTAATTTTCCTAGGGGAGAAGCCTCCAAGCTGTCAACAGAGACAGGGATGAGGAACAGTCATGGCACTGGGCTTCAGCTACCTATTCTATAAAATGGAGGGGAAAATCCCTACCTGACTCACTCACTAGGTGAATGTCAGAATAAATGAAGTCATCAGTAAGAACCTGCTCTGGGGGCCGGCCTGTGGCTTACTTGGGAGAGCGTGGTGCTGACAACACCAAGTCAAGGGTTAAGATTTCGGGGGGGGGGGGGGTTAAAAAAAAAAAAAAAGAGAAAAAAGAACCTGCTCCGGAAAATTAAAAATACCATATAAATGGGAAGTATGCTCTACATGACCACCCAGCTTCCAACCCTTACAAAAAGAGCTACTTCCCTGGAACAGTCTGTGTACCAGCATAAGTACTACGGAAGGAAGCCACTAGAAAGAAATCCCTGAAAAGTCCAAAAGGGGGGGGGGGGGGGTTAAAAAAAAAAAAAAAGAGAAAAAAGAACCTGCTCCGGAAAATTAAAAATACCATATAAATGGGAAGTATGCTCTACATGACCACCCAGCTTCCAACCCTTACAAAAAGAGCTACTTCCCTGGAACAGTCTATGTACCAGCATAAGTACTACGGAAGGAAGCCACTAGAAAGAAATCCCTGAAAAGTCCAAAACCCCATATATCAGACTAAGGCTGGCAGAGGGAGGAAGAAAGGACTGGCCTCTCGGGCACTGGGCACCCCCTGAAACTAAGCTATGAAACCCAGAGTTCCTCAAAGTACCTTCTGCCAAACATCCCAGTGGATATAAGGGAATCCACACAGTGTAACGAAGCCATGTGAGCACCTTCCAATCCATGTCAATGCAGGAAAGCATATAGAAGGGATATCTATTGAAAATAAGTAATTCCAATGTTAAAAGCCACTTCAGGTTCTGAATGCAACCCTAGAGTACTATCCAAGTAGAAGAATGATTTCTCAATTAGCCCCACATGGCTTCTCCAGAACAGAATTATAATCCTGGCCTATCTACCACAAACTCCCATCATGCTACTCCCTAAAACTTCAAAGGATGTGAACTCTAATGGCAGACTAAGTTTGGTTCTCAAAGGGACCCTCTTTGTTCAGTATATAGACTGAATGTTCAGAAGCTTATTGGCTTTATTCCTTGTTCTGCTCTATGTTACCAGTGGGTAAGGATGTCTGAAACTTTATCTCTGGATAAATAAATTATCAAAATTAAAGTACATATACAAAAGACTTCTAATCTAGAAACAGACATACTCTGTTTTAAAAGAGATACCATAAGAAAAGAAATTTGCGGGCCGGCCTGTGGCTCACTCGAGAGAGTGCGGTGCTGATAACACCAAGGCCACAGGTTTGGATCCCATATAGGGATGACTGGTTAGCTCACTGGGTGAGCGTGGTGCTGACAACACCAAGCCAAGGGTTGAGATCCCCTTACCAGTCATCTTTAAAAAAAGAAAAAAGAAAAGAAAAGAAATTTGTTTCTTCCCACACAGCATAAATTAACATTAAGGACCTATAATCTGCTTTACCTTTGTATCACGTATATTAGAGGGTACCCTGAGTGCTATGGGATACAGACGGTGGTTAAGACACAATCTAAAGCTGCTACTGCCTGTTCTCCCTCTCAACTATTAACTTTGTTAAAGTACCACCAAACCTAGAGCTGATGAGTGAATTTGCAAAATCCTTGCTCCACTGGACTGAAAAGGGAAGAAATGTAGAATAGGTATGGTCTGCTAAAGAATACATCTACTTTAATTGGATCAATTTTATTTTTTTTTTCCTTTTTGTCTTTTTTTTACTGACCAGCAACGGGATCACAACCCTTGGTGTCGCGCCCGTACCAGGGACCGGCAACGGGATCGCAACCCTTGGTGTCGTGCCCACACCGCGCTCAGCCAGTGAGCGGGAAATGGTCTCCACATGGGATCCGAACCCTCGGCGGGAGCGCCGCCGCACTCCCAAGCGGTGCACTCTCCAGTGCACCACCGGGCCGGCCCGGATCAATTTTTTTTTAAAGGGTATTTTTCTATTGAAAACTGAGAATGGAAAACTCAGATAAGAAGTCAATTCAAACTTCACTAATCTTGTAGTAAAAGATTCATTTATATCATTCCTTCTAAGTCTTGACTGTTTCCATCCAACCTGGACTGCTCATTCAAGTCCATGTTTCTTCAGCCCTTTCAAAAATTCTTCCATGTGGATGGGTCCTCTCTTTCCAACAAGACAGAAAGATCCTGAAGTCACAGTAAGATCAGTTTTTCACTTCTCTGGTTCACCTTCTAAGGGAGTGCCCAGGTTGGTATTGTGAGCCAATGAGTGCTTTAAAAAAAATCTGCCTCAACTTTGTAGCTAGAATTATCCACATATATAGTCCAAACCAAATGAGACTCTGTCTAAGACAGCAACTCCCTCAAGAAGGGAGCTGCTCCAGAGAGAGAGAAGTATTCCAACACCATTCTGGCATTTCTACCCACCTGAAAATTTCAATTGTGCTCCAAATATAAAACACAAAGAAAACCACAGCTTTGTTTTGCATTTCTTCCATGGTGCCAAAGATGATAAACAAAATGAAATTTCTTCCAAGAAGCTATTAAAAGGACCCAAAAGAGAGAAAAAAGTTAAAAATACATATACAAAAGCCACATAAATGTGTTATCTGAAATCTAACTCCACTTAACACAGGTAAATGGAAAAGATTGAGCTCAACTAGTTTAATCTTGCTCCAGTTTTGGAAAAAGTGCCAAAACCAGTCTTTCTGGATAGATAGATAACTTTTTCCTGTGTGTGTGTGTGCATGCAAATATACTGAAAATAGTATATTAAAGACACACACATTCAAACAGTTTAAAGAATGCTGCCAAATGAACATTTGTGTCTGCATAACCCTAGTTTGGAAATAAAGCATTACCCCATAAGTAACTACTATCCTGTGTTAATCATTCCATTGCTTTCCTTTATAGGTTACTGCTGTGTTTTTTGCTGTTTATGTATTCCTAAATAGTATATTGTTTCATTTTGCCTATTTTTAAACTTTTTGAAATCACACTGTATGTTTTACTCTGTGACTTGCTCCTTAGTCAGTGTCATGGCCCAGAGATTTATCTATGTTGATGCATGTGTCTATAGCGCACTCATTTCCACTGCTGTAAGGCATTCCCATGTATGATACACATTCTCCTCTCGATGAACACCTGGGCTGTTGTCTGTTTCTGGGTTTTATTCTGTCCCAGTGGTCTATGTAACTGTCTTTGTACCATATCACATGGTATTAACTACTAAATCCTTACAATGTTTTGATTTCCTGTAGGGTAAGTCCCCAACTTGGGTTCTTCTTTAAAAGAATATTTCTGGCCCTTTGCTTTTTCTTTTCCTTTTTTCTATTGTGGTAAAATACACATAACATGAAATCTGCCATCTTAACCATTTTTAAGTGTACAGTTCAGTGGTATCAAATACATTTATAATGTTGTATAACGACCACCACCATCCACCTCCATAACTCTGTTCATCTTGTAAAACTGAAACTCTGACCCATTAAAAAACTCCCCATTCCCCAGCCCCTGGCAACTATCATTCTACTTTCTGTCTCTATGATTTTTTTTTTTGGCAGCTGGCCAGTAAGAGGAACTGAATCCTTGACCTTGGGTGTCAGAAGGCTTGGCTCTAACCAACTGAGCTAACTGGCCAGCCCTGTCTCTAATTTTGACTACTCTGAGTATGTCATATAAGTGGAATCATACAGTATTTGACTTTTTGTGACTGGCTGATTTCACTAAGCATAATGTCCTCAATATTCATCCATGTTGGGGCCGGCCCGGTGGCGCACTGGATAGTGCGCCGCTTGGGAAGCACGGCGGCGCTCCCGTCCGAGGGTTCGGATCCCATGTGGAGACCATTTCCCGACGGCGGCGCTCCCGTCCGAGGGTTCGGATCCCATGTGGAGACCATTTCCCGACGGCGGCGCTCCCGTCCGAGGGTTCGGATCCCATGTGGAGACCATTTCCCGACGGCGGCGCTCCCGTCCGAGGGTTCGGATCCCATGTGGAGACCATTTCCCGACGGCGGCGCTCCCGTCCGAGGGTTCGGATCCCACATATGGACCGATTCCCGCTCACTGGCTGAGCGGGGCGCGGGAGCAAGACCAAGGGTTGCAATCCCGTTGCGGGTCCCCGGTCCGGTACGGGGGCAACACTGAGGGTTGCGATCCGTTGCCGGACACGGAAAAAAGACAAAAGACAAAAAAATATATATATATTCATCCATGTTGTAGCATATGTCAGAATTTCCTTCATTTTTAAGGCTATTTTTCATCGTTTGTATATGCCACATTTTTCATTCATCCATCGATGAACACTTGCATTGCTTCCATGTTTAGCTATTAGGAATAATGCTACTATCCTGGACCTTTGCTTTTTTCATAAAACTTAAGAATTTTCTTGTCACATTTCAAAATTTTTTAGATTGTGAGATTAGAATACATTTAATCTGTAGGTAAATATGAGAACATTGTTGCAACATTGAATCATACAATTCAAGAAAATTGTGTCTATATATTTACTTTTTGTGCTCTCTATTCTTTCCTGCATCTCAAACCATTCAGTAATTTTCTCTTCAGCTGTGTCTGATCTACTGCAAAAACTGTTCGTTTAATTTTAACATTTGATTACTGTATTTTTCATTAATAGAAGTTCTATTTGCCTCCTTTTCAGATCTGCTTAGCTATTCTAAGTTTCTTGTGTCCTGCTCAAATACTCAAGTTGTCTTCAAACCTAATTATTTTCTATTCTGTCCCTGATAATTCTAATATCTGACATTCATGTGGGTCTGTTTCTACAGTCTGTTGTTTCTATTGGTTCTTGCTCACAATGCCTTTTTCTTTGGTTTTATAATCTTTGACTGGAAGCTGCTCATTTTTTGGAAACATATCTGTGGGAATTCTTTGAGGCCTGGGCAAAAGTGGTTACTTTCAGAAAAGATCTGTGTTTGCCTCTGCCAGAGTCTAAGGGCAATGGCAGTTAAGGATCACTTTAAATAAAATTCGTAACTTGAGGATTTTTGAAACACCCAGCAGGTACAAACTCATATCATGAATTCATTTGGAGGACTAGCTTATGGTTATGAATTCTTAAAGTAGATCATTTCCTCTACCTCTGGCAGGGCCAACCTTTGAGCCAGAATTGTTTTTCTTATAGACTGCAATGAGGAGGAAGGCAGATTTATTTCTAATCCACCTTCACATGCAGCTCTTTGTAGTCTGTTTTACTGGGGAAGGGTTTGTTACTGGACTCCCTACTTCAGTCAGGATCTGAGTTTGTAACTCCTGTATCTTGTGATACTATAAAACTGAAGTTTAAGTTCAGTTGGGTTTGCAAATCTCATGGCAAAAACCAGTGTCAGTGCTCACCTTATCTGTCGGTTCTAGTAGTCACTTGGTTTTTGGCCTGTTCATCAATGCAGTTGATATTTCTTTCCTATCTTATCTACCATTTTCATCATGAGAGTTCATTAGGCCACCTAATCTGCCATACTTCCTGAACATAATCCTCTAACCCATTTTTGTAAGCCAACTAAACACATTTTATCTTATTACTCCACACTTACTTCACGACAGAAGACTTTTTTCACTAAACCATTTTGGCTAGATATTTAGCCTCTAACTCTTAGATCTTTTCTCAAAGGACAATAAAAAGGAGTGCTCATGTTCACCCACGTTTTCCTAGTTTCCCAGGCTTCTGTTCTATACTATTTTCTACTTACTCCTACTTGGTACCTAGGAAATTGCATTCTAGTTGTTCACATCCTGAAGGACAGAGACACTTCTGATTCTGTGCATACAGCAAGCCTCCAATATATGTTAAAAAATCCAATCTACTTACTACAGTAAATTCAGTTCCCATTTTCAAATCAAAATAAGCCCTGCTCAGGCCCAAGGCACTGCCCAACTCCAGGAGGTTTCACTCGCATTGTGTTCTACGAGAATAACTCCCTGGAATCATGCAGTGTGATGGCTCTCTACCTGTCCCTTCCATCCTGCCCTAAAAATTCTACCTTAACATTTATTTGTAATGGTTCTTGATATACAAATACTACTACTCCCTATCAGTGGGTCACTCAGTATCCCATTTTATTTTCTAAACTAAACAAAACAGCCTCTTTCCAAGTACAGAAACCCCAGAAATAACAAGGTTACTACATTAACCTTGCAACTGATACTCTTAGAATGCTATAGAAGGTATACCAGAAAAGGGCAGAGCTATAAACACAGTATTCCAGAATAGATTAACCAGCAATCATCTGGTGGCCCCTGTGCATGAGTAGGTGGTACTTTTTGGTATATAATCACATAGTTAAGAAACAGGGCAAGAAGGGTGAAAGACTTGATGCCCCACTCCTGAGAGCAATCTTCCAAATATTAGGAAACACCATAGATGTATTAGACGGGGAAAATCCCCACACTCTAGTCAGAAGAGGCACCTGAATATATAGAAGTCCAAAGTGAAAAGATTTCCTAGGTATTTGACTGCCTTCATCTACCTGAGGTGGCAGAAGGCCAAGTACATTTCTAAATAAGGAGAAGAAGGGTAGGTTTTTCTGCTCCTGCCTGAGAATCAAATTTCCCTGGTTTTAAAGCTCTTTTTATAACTTTAATTTCATGAGGGCATAAACAACGAAATAGACCTGAAATGGTAAAATGTACTTTGGAAAATGTCCCTGAGGTTTAAAATTTTCTTTCTTCTTCATATAAAAAAAAATTATTTCTGTGCAAATAGGTATTTTTACTAATTGAGACTTCTTCTAGCAAACTGTGACACATCTACTAGACAAATACTGGAATCTTTCATCCTTTCCACTCCCCCACCCCTTGAGCTCAACTATTCAATACCTGGATAAGAGAAGGGATCACTGGTGTCTTAGTGACTCCAATTGCTGCATTGATAGTTTCCACAACTGCCAGCATCTGGCAGAAATACATCATGTCAGCCACGGTGTGGAATGTGTCATAAAAGGACTCTATGAACGCAAATAGACATTAAGGGTAAATCAACTGACAAATTTCCACAGAAGTATTTCTCAAACTGGATAACTGCTTGCACGAAAGAAACTTTAGGAAAGGGATAACAAAAATCCAGTCAGATTCAAGTTTCTTAGCTAAATAAGCTAGAGGGGAACAGGCCTTGGGGGTCACAAATAGTAAACTACTGGTTACCAGAAAGTGAACACGTAAACCCTGTACACCTTTCTTATTTTTAAAAGGCAAGAAAAAAGTACACCTAGACTTCATTTACTTACTATATACAAAAAAATCTACGTATCAGGTACAGTGATAATGCTTTTCATCATCTCATTTAATTTAAAGCTAAAACTATTAACACATATATTGAATGCAATCCAGCCTTGTAAAATCTCAAAACCTATACAATCATAAATAAATGCAGAGGGAAAAAAAAGCACTGAATATGATTAGGTTTGAAAAACCTTAATTGTTTTTGTATCTTTAGACCCAATAATTCCTATTATGAGATTCGATCCTAACTAAAAAAATCTAAAATGATTAAAAAAAAAAACTTTTATAAACAAAATTGCTCTCTGAAACATTATTCTTAAGTGCATTAAAGTAGAAATGATCTAAATATCTAAGAGCATGGAAAATTTGAGTAACTATAGGATATCTACTTGATAGAATATATAGAAATTTAAAATGACAGTTATTGCTTATATGTATTAGCAAATATGGTATCAATCCCAAGTGGTTAATTAAATAATACCCTTTATTCTTCATAGTGATCCTCTCTTTACATCCTTCACATTCTTCTTTGCAGTGTTTCTCAACCTGAGTATCAATGACATTCTAGGCAGGACAATTCTGTGTCTTGCATATTGCAGAAAATTTTAGATTTCTGGCTCCCTGCCTATTGAATTCAAGTAGTGCCCACAAGTCACTGTGACAACCAACCAACATCCCCAAATTGGGGCATTTCCAAATACCCCCAGAGAGGGCAAAACTGCACCACGTGAAAACCTCTGGGGAATCATTATCCACATATTTGTAATCTAAATCCTCAGAGTTAAAAGGTTCCATACAAAAGCAAAAATTATAGCTGAAAAATTATCACTAATTTACCAACAACTTATAAAATCAGCCTCCATTCAAATATCCATTCCACTTAGGACTAAGCTTATTTGTCGCATCTAAGTCTCGGTCTATAATTCTTCCTCATTGTCAACAACATGAACAAAGACTGTAAAATGAAATTACAAATCCTTTTAAAAGATGTAAAATATTCCTGAAGTCAATTACATTAATGATGATGAACTCATCTAATTGCATATAAAGATGCTGAGGAATGAGGTTCTGGCAGAGTTAGGCCAGTTACCGACAAAGATGACCTTGTAGGAGCCTCAAAAGAAAACAATTTAAATATCAGATAAATAAAAGAGGCCCTTGCAAAAACTGAAGAAACCCTCTAATGTCTTTGCAAAAATTATCCAACTTATAATCCTCCTGCAAAGTCAAATGTGAAATTAAGAATGGTATATAGTGTTATTGTATATGATTCCACCAGTAAATAAGCTAAAAATTTGACTAATTCTTTTCTTCAAGGAATTAAGCAAAATTACAATTACAACTTAAATTTTGTTACATACAAGATAAAAAAATTTATTTTCATAATTTCAAGTGTCACTTTCAAGACAAAATTCACATCAAATATTTCTGTCATCATTTACATTGAAATTTTGGTATCCTATTTAAAGGTAATCACTTTAAATGGCATTTTTCCTGATCAATTATCATTGAAAAATGAGGACCTCCCATACTTTGAAATAGAAACTTGTGATTTGGCACATGGTAAATAAAAATTAGATCTTGTTGTTCTGCCTCTAATTTCATGGAAAATTTATCCTTGTTTCAACTCAAGAATACAAACCCAGTTTCTAAAATAATAGGAAGAAAAAATATAAAGTGCTTATAATATTAAAAAACAAGATACAAAATTGTATACACAGTATAATTATAATTACTTTTCTAACTGCTGGAGAAAAAAGGCTAGAAGGAAATATATGGGAATATTAATAGTGATGGGACAAAGGCTTATTCACCTTCTCCTCCCACATCAACATCCCTGATTTTACCCATTTTCCAAACTTTCTTAAATCAGCACATTACTCTTGTGGTAAGAAAAAAAGTTTTTCAAAGTACTAAAAGGTGCTCATATGCTAATGGAATATGGATTTAAATAGAGGTCATATAAATAGTACATTCTTTCAGGAAGAATATTTGGCGGTATACATCAAAATCTTGCAATTCCCACCTTAGGAATTTTTACTGAGGAAGTTATTCAGAGTATGCACAATAATTTAGCTATAAGGATGCTAACTGGACACTTAATAAAAAATTCAGAACCAACTAAATGTCTTACAACTGGTAAAATTAACATATGGCAATTCACAAAATACAGCCATTTAAAGTAATATTGTAAAGTATCTTCACTGACATGGAAAGCTGTTTATGATATTCTATTTGGTGAAAAACAAGGCTACATGATGTACTTATGTTATGGTATTATGTATTTTAAAAAATATGTGGGTTTAGAAAGATAAACACCAAAGTGCCAAGAATCTGTTGCTCTAACAGATGGGATTATGGTAGTGATTTTTGTTTGTTTTATGTTATGTTTTTATTTTCTGATTTTTTTCTGTAATTAACACATATTTATAACAAGAAAAAAAATTATTTGATAAGAAGTTTTCCTTAATTCAGAGCTTGACAAGTCCAAGAGTTTCTAGACAAGCCCATGAGTTTGCTGTTGTTTCCCACCTAGCCCAGGAAATTTAGCAATGACGTACATGTTCACATGAAAAGACAAGAAGATGTGTAGAATTTGCCATTCATCAACATCCTTTACTGAAAAGGAGAAAATTGTGGAGAGCAAACTATGACCCTGGGTGCCAGGCTGCAGGTCCTTACCACACCTTCGAGGACTGATAAAGGAAAAATTAAACCAGCAGCTCTACTCCAATAGGTGGTTAGGAAGAGGCTCGGAGCCAAAATAGAAATTACCAGTCCAGGCAGATTATGTTAAACACATAATCAGATGACTTAGCAGCTTTTGGACTGGATCACCTAAGAGCTGGCAGGATTATGTGGAACACTCAGACTCTATCCAACTATGTTAAGTTAAAAACATTAAGCATTTATGTATTTTAATATCCCTTTCATTCCATGGGACTTGTGATAAATCCATACTAATAAAAGCTGTAGGTGTGAGAATAACTGTTTCTGAGCCTTCCTTTGTTTCTTCCTTTCTTTTTTTTTTTTTGACTGGTAAAGGGATCGCATTCCCCGGCACGGTGTGGTCTGCACCACGCTCAGCCAGTGAGCGCACCAGCTATCCCTATATAGGATCCGAACCCGTGGCCTCTTCTGAGTGAGCCACGGGGCTGGCCCTGTTTCTTTAAATAAATTATCTGTAGACCTCTGGTCACAAATGACTATATGACATTGGACACTTGGGAAATTTTTCATTAGCCTGCCACTGTGCTCGGCAGAATTCCAGGGTGTTAGGAAGGCTGGAAAAACAAGATGCATTTTTTCCTCTTTCAAATGACTCTAAAGTTAATTACAATTCACCTTCTACAAACCTCAGATGGGGGCCGAGCCCGTGGCGCACTCGGGAGAGTGCGGCGCTGGGAGTGCAGCAGTGCTCCCGCTGCGGGTTCGGATCCTATATAGGGATGGCCGGTGCGATGCGCTCACTGGCTGAGCTCGGTGTGCCCGGTCACAAAAAGGACAAAAAAAAAAACTCAGATGGGGAAATTTAGGACTGAAGAGTAAAATAGTCTATAGGACTTTTTTCTCTTGTTAAAGTTTATATTTTCCATTACACTTACATTTTTCTCCACACTTACTTTACAAAATAAAGAAAAATTTTAAAATGATCCAGATTCAAGACAATTGAAAATGGTGTATTCCTTCCAATTTTTTTATGTGTTTCTCCCCGTTTATATGGTATGACCAATACATAGCCTATCATAAGTATTTTCCTGTTATCACAAATTCTTAAGATACCTTATATTTGCTTCACAACACTCCACTAAGTGAATATTCCAAAGCAATCCCTCACTAATAGATATTTAAGTACTTTCTAATTTGTCACTAATATATATATAATAATGCCATAAAGTGTATGCTTTTGAAAAAGTTTTTCTCATAGTTTTATTTTTTTTAGAACATATTTCCGAGAGTGAAATAACCAGGGCCAAGCATATGAACAGTTAAAGTTCTTGATACACTTTGCCAAACAATTTTCCAAAAGAGATGCTGGACTTATGTACCCTCCCACTAGCCATAGCTATGCCTGTTTTAGCATATACTATCTAAAAAAGAATTAGGTATCTTTTTTAACTTTTAAGAACTAATAAATGAAAAAATAAAGTTGTTTATTTTAAAATAACTTTATTTTTTATTTCTTTCACCATTATTGAGTTAAATATTTTTCTGTACCATGCAGATGGTGTGTCAGACTTTCAACTGCACTGACACAAGGAGAGGCACCAGTGGAGACCAAAAAAAAAAAGAGGTCCTTTCTCTCCACAAAGCACCCTCCAGAGTAATAGAAGAAGCATCTGCTTTATGATAATAGGGGAGGACTTGACCACACCTGTCTCAGTACTGGACAGATCATCTAGGCAACAAACCAACAGAGGAACAGTTAATCTATCAGATGGAGAGATCAAATCAATGGTTGTTAGATGGAGAGGGGGTGGGGGAGGGGGAGAGACTGGATAAGGGGCAAAAAGAATGATTTGTAACAATGAATATGCTAATAAAAAACAAATTTAAAAAATTAAAATTAAAAAAAGTTTTTAAAAATAAATATTTTTCTGCATATTACATTAGTTTTATTTTCTCCTACACAAACTGCCCGTACATGACTTTTGTTTATTTATCTATTAGCTAGAGTTTTCATATTTTTAAATCAATTTGTGCAAGTTCTTTATATGTAAAGAAATCAGCTCCCCCCATCCCCATTCTGACTTCCACCTCAATATGCTGTTAACCTTTAATGTTGTCTTGGTTGGGGTCTTTTTAGATATACAGGAATTTAGTTATTTTATATAGTCAAATGCATTGACTTTTTTTAAAAATAATTTGTTCTAACACTTCTAAGCTTAGAAAGTCCTAACCTTCCACATGAGGGTTTTATAAATATTTACTTACATCTTGTATTGTGATTTAATTTTTTGATATATGACTCTTAAATCCTTTAGGGGAATTTATTTTTGTACACAGCGTGAGAAGAGTCAAATAGATTTCTTGCCTCCCTCATGTACCCAAAGCTAAGTAATTTTCCTTGGAAACATTTGATTTCCCATCCAATAAAAAATTAGTGAAAAAGATTTCCCTGTGATTGACTCATGATTCCTCTTCTATCATATATGTACCTCAGATATAAACATAGTAAAAGAGCTATCAATGGGCCGCTTAATCTGCTCTATTAATTAGCCTATTTTTATGCTAATGCTATACTATTTTAATTGCCATACTTCCATACCAGGTAGAAAAAGTCCTCTTTCAATTATTCTTTCTTCCCCCAAATTGTATTACTATTTATTCTTCCAAATAAAATCTTAGAATACTTTAGATCAAATTCTCAAATATTTTCCATTGGCATTTACTTTTTACAATCTCCTTAGGCTCCAAAAGGGTGAGGTCCCTTTTGGACCTGCATAACTATGGCACTGAAGAATCACATCAATTTATTTAGTGGTTAATGAACTATTAAGTAGTGAGCAGAGAAAAGGATGTGCCTCTGACTAGCTGTGTGAATGTGAACTATTTCTTTGATCATCTCTAGGCCTGTTTCCTCAGCTGTTAAATGGAAAAAAAAATCCAGTCAGCTTGTTTCTCAAGACCATCGGAAATAAGAGAGATGAAAGGAAGAAAGTGCTACACAAATGTGGGGGGTTATGATTAATATCAAAGGCGGAGAGTGCTACCTTTGATGAGTAGTGGGCCAAACCACTGAGAAAAGGAAAGCTAGCCCTGAAATTTCTTACTTGCCTTTTCCCAAGATAAAAAACCGCACAGTCAGGTTGACAAAGATCCAGGAGAATCCCAAGAACTGCACAAGATTATACATGAACAGGTATCCTTTCTTCAAGCTTGTAAGAGCTGAAAAGCAAAGCAAGGCACCAAGCTGTTAACAGCAACAGTGGCAGCACGAGAGGAGTGATGGGGCATATCTGGATGACTTTAACCCTTCTTCCCACCTGGCTGCCCCTAAGCTCCCACACACAAGTACCTGGTCCAGGTCTCACCAGCCTATTCCCACAGAGAAATATAAAAGGAAAAATTGTGAGGAATATTGCTCTCCAAGATATGTTTTCAGTGGTCTTTCCTTTCACAGAAAAGGGATAAGTATACAGACATAACAAACGCAAGAAAAAAAAAATACGCCTGGCAAAGAATAACTGACCGTCTTAGGGGGCACTACAGAAGGGAAATAAAGTTCTCCTCAGCTCCTGCTCTACTCCTCTTAATATAAGCAAGAGCTTCTTCTTTTCTGGAATTTTTCTCAAGGTCATGTAGGTCAAACTATTCCAAAGAGGTAGAAACAGTATTTGAAAAAAATAATTGTGATATCTGGTCATATATTCATTCCACTAAGCATTAACTGAACACCTACAATGTGCTGTGAGGGACTCTACTGGGATGCGAGATAGTTACAACAGGAAGCCGCCCTCAGAGCTTACAATCAAAAAGCCATAAGATGAGAAGGAGAGTGATGAGTAATGTCTTGTGCAAATTTCAAGGTGAGAAAATGGCATTAAGTTGGGGAAGCGAGCATCAGGCAAGTCTCCATGGGTAAGCCTGTAACTGATCTGGGCTTTGAAAGACAGGTAGAAGAGGACATAACCCAAGGAGCACAATTTCAAACTGAGAGGCAGGACAAGAAGGGATATGAATTTTGTCTGCAGCCCAAGGTTCATGGAGACACAGGCAAATACAGAGCGAAGGAAGAAGTAAGGAGTTTAGGCAGAGTCATGGCTGAGTCAAAGCAGTGGTGTAAAGAAAAGGGCAGTTGTCAAGAGAAGAGACATGGTGCTCAGATTCTGCTGCTACATACTCATTCCTAGGCTACCGGTATTCTAAACAGACACCTGGTTGATGGTCAAATAATCATATTTAACTGTATCATCAATCAAAAGCAGCCTTATCTAAGGGGCCAAAAAATGTCAGACTTCTAACAACATTTAATTAAAATTATTTTCTTCAAAATTACAAAAATTTATTATACTTGCCCAACATAAAGAACCCCCTTCATCAGGAAACCTTACGAATTCAGACAAAACAGTTAAAGCTTTACTTAACATCCTAAAAATCCATATGTAAGAATTTTTACATGTTTCTGAAGTCTATCCCTTTAAAACACCAAAAAATTCATTTAAATCTCAAGGTGGCCTTTTAATGCTGCTGTTATTCTTTGCGTCCACAAACCCTCTTCCTTTCTCTGCTTTTCTAAAAGAATATTCCTCTAAATTAGTGGCTATTCAAATCTGTTTTTAAACCCCTTTTCAAAAGAAATCTTATTTAGAGTCCCAATACATAAAACACAAAAGAGAACTGCTTGATTGAAGTAGATCTGCTTGCTTGACCTACCCCTCCAAAGCATCTCTGGGAAGCCCTGGGATACAATGGAACGTAGTTTGAAAACCACTGCTATGATTTTCCTTACTTATGGCATGCCAAATAAGTGCCACTAAAACTTGACAAAGTTCAATTTAGGACAAATGAGGAGCCTTTATTTCATTCTGCTTTTCAGAGTTAGTTGTACACAGACCTGCATTGTCCTCCTAACTAGAATGCAAGCCCTTTTGAGTACAGGTGCAATAAGGGATTCATCTGGCTCTACATCAAAGGCCTAGCACAATGCTCCCCATACAGCATACCGTTAATAGCTGCTATGTCACTCAGAAGATAATACATTTACAGAGCTTCTTGCTTGTAAGTGGTTAGACAAACAGAAATAGAAATGGATTTTTATAAGTTTAATGAACAGCAGGACTATACAGAATACTCTCCATCTTTAAGGCTGACAACCACATTTATCTATGGCACAGCCCTTGTGATCTCAGTTGATAGAAAAACACCAGGCTGAAAGAGTGTGGCCTTGGACCTATGCAGTAATTCCACATGTCTATGCAAAATTTGGTTGCCTAGGGCCAGCCCGTGGCTCACTTGGGAGAGCGTGGTGCTGACAACACCAAGTCAAGGGTTAAGATCCCTTACCGGTCATCTTTAAAAAGAAAAAAAAAAAAAAAAAAGATTTGGTTGCCATCTGCCATTAGGCCAGTCCAGGAGGCTGAGATTCTTCCATTCTGCTACACCAGCGCTGGTGTACTCAGATGATGCCCAAACAGAAACAAAACATTAAAGGTAAGGTTTCTGATGTGGGTGTGCATAGCTTAAGCACTGGACATAAAGGAGTTCTCATAAACTCACCCACACTGTTCACTGGGTGAAATCATTAGCTCTCCTGCCATATTACAATCATTCACACCCCCACCTCTATCATGAGTTAACTGGTAACTACCATGGGAGCACTGCCAACTTACTTTCAGGGGAGCCTTGGCTTTCCAATCTGAGTTTATTCAGGCGTTCTTCTTCCTAGAATTTACAAACAAGTTTTCCAAGAGCATAAGTTAGAATTCCCAGATGTTTACAAAACTCTTTGTGTTGGATAAGTGATCTGACTCCCTCAAAGCCACCTCCTCCAGCTGAGTTCAGTGCTTCACTGGGGAAAATGTCCTAGCTCATGGTACCAAAACACCTGACCCCTCCTTACTGGGCAGCCTTAGCATCGTAAGATGCCCACCCAATGTTCAAAGAGCTAAACCAATAGCTGGCTTCCAAACTGCCAAGTGAGCAATCTTGGAATCTTAGAGCTGGGAAGGACATCCAGAAGATTTGTCATAGTCATAGAAACAAAACAGAAGTTTAAGGCAGTGAGTAAACTGCTATTTTATTTTTCAAGCCTTCTAGATTTTTAGCATAATTTTTCCAGAAGCTAAGATCATGTCTCCAACATCAGTAGTATGAATTCATATTTAGCTTAATATAGATAAAGATGGATACATAAAGAAATATTTATAGGTATATGTAAATTGGTTACTATGCATACATATACTTCCTTGTTTTGCAGCTGAGAGGACCTAAAAGCAATGGCATCCCCAGTAGCAGTGAGCGTACCAAGCACCCAGATCTTGGTTTCCAATACCATTATTCAATAAAAACAACAGAGCTCCTCGGAGAAATGGCTATTCTAGGGCTGGAGAAATGGCTACTCTAGGGCTTAAAATAAGCCTGGAACTGCTTATAGTTCCAGCAAGTAAGAAAGTGCTGAAAAAAAGTCTCACAATGACAGAGCTTTCTCAAAAAGACAGAAGAGCCAAGTAAAAGTGCTCCCAGAGGCCAAAGGTGGAACAATTTGAGCAACAAAATAAATGAGATTATATCCCAAAATATAAAATAAGTATCCATGAGTCCACACTGATATAAATGACTGAACAAATAAATAAATGGGAGAGCATAGACAAATCTCTCATGCAGAAGAATTTCAAGTAAATTATGCAGATATTCCACTATAAAAGACAGAAAGCATCATTCCCACTCCTTAAGTGTGGGCTATGCATAGTGACTTCCTTCCAAAGAGTACAGTAAGGAAATGGGAGGGGCACAGGGATAGTATCTTCACAGTGGAAAAACATGGCAAACATCACCTCAGCCAGCTGATCCAAGATCAGTAATGACAGTGATATGCCATGTTGACAGTATGTACCCTTGACATGACGTGATGAGAATGGCACTTTCCCTCTGTGGCCTTCCTCCCCAAAACCCATCACCTTAGTCTAGTCATAAGAAAAACATCAGGGGCTGGCCAGTCAAAGCACAGCCTCGTAACACAGTAACAGCAAGGTCAAGGGGGTTTTTTGGTTCTCATACTAGCCAGCCTCCAAAAAAACAAAAAACAGGGGCCGGCCTGTGGCTCACTCGGGAGAGTGCGATGCTGATAACACCAAGGCCCCGGGTTCGAATCCCATATAGGGATGGCTACATCTTTTAGATATCCTTTGAGAAACTCCAGGGCCCTTGGAATTTCCCAAAGTTATTTTAAAGTTTCAGAATTTAATGTTGGAAAGCTGTGTTAAATAACAAAAGGCTTAGAACATTTAATTGAATAAAATCATAAATTACTACAAAAAATAAAATCAAACTGACAAAGGGTTTGAAAGGCAAAGAGCACAAGAACTTATCATGATAAAACATGAGATAAGATCCCTAGGCCAGTTATCTAAAAGACAAAGAAAAACCTTTTACGGGCCGGCCCGTGGCTCACTCAGTAGAAGGTGCGGTGCTGATAACACCAAGGCCCCGGGTTCGAATCCCATATAGGGATGGCCGGTTAGCTCATCGGGTGAGTGTGGTGCTGACAACACCAAGTCAAGGGTTAAGATCCCCTTACCGGTCATCTTTTAAAAAAAAAAAAAAAGATCCCCTTACCGGTCACCTTTCTAAAAAAAACAACAACAAAAATTAAAACATCAGACAAATCCCAATTGAGGGACAGTCTATGAAATACATGACCAGTATCTCTCTAAAATTATGTTGCCTGGTCTTTAAATGAATTTGTAACTTTGTCCCTATTCTATCAGACCCTGAGAGGTATCTGAAGTGGCCGAAATAACTTGGGTTCCTCATGATTTCTGTCTTCAATGGCTAAATCCTACGGTCCTTACTAACCTTGGCTCTGAGCTCCATTTCTGCATCAGATTCGTCCAGCCAGCGGTCAAAGTCAGGGGCCAAAAACAATGGGCGTTTCTCCTGCTTGGTGAGTCTCTCCCACCACTGACTCACCTTCTTCTGTACGGTAATGTTTACCTGCCTCTGGGTCAGTCTGTACACTGGCTAGAAGAGAAAGTGAGAATGTGAGAATGCCCTCTTCCATTCCCTGAAACTATGCCATGCCGGTGTGGCTCTACAGAGAAGCTGCACAGTATGCATATTTTCCTTTCCTTTTCTGGTCAGGTCCTGATGCAAAGGTAACATCTAGACCAAGCGTTGGCATAGAGAACTGGGAAAAAGAGCCGTGTCTTTCCCTGATTCCCCTAGTGAATGACACAGGAGAAAATCACGATAAAAAAGGCAGGGAGTTCCTGGTTGCCCTGGAGGCAACTAACATGACCCTCCTGCCATAGCCATATCATGCAAGGCACTACATCCAATCACCATCTCAAAAGTCACCTTCAGCTTCCAGATTTTCCTCCCATGAAAATGACTGTCCCTGCCTTGAGCAAAACCTTGTTTTAGAAAGGCCTCTATCAAGGCCAGAACTACATTGAACCAGTTACAACTTTACAAGTAGGAAATCTTCCCAACTAAACTCAAATTTTTAGAGGCCATTACAGCTCTTTTCTCTGTATGGCTTCTCCCTTTGTCTCCAAAGCAAGCCCCATGACAGGTTTTCTGTCCCTAATACCACTACTGACCATAATGTTTTCTCAAAACCACTGAGCCCCTGTACAGGAAGACCAATTAGCTCAAGCCCCTAGAGCTAACTGTGTAATTCCAGAAACTGAATATACCATCTGTTGGCTTCTCTTCCTTTGTGTTAGAGAAGTTTCCCTAGGCTCTGAGGTAAGGGAAACTTCAATTATATTTCCAGCACTCTTCATAAAGACCAGCTGCCTTAGCCCGTTCTGGTTTCTACTTTGCTCGTTGCCGTTTTGGCGAAGTCACATGAAAGCAACCCCCTAGTGTGGGCTTCAACTACCCTATGTAACTCTGCTCTCGATGGATGCCACACTCCTCCGCTATCACTAAAATCAGAGAATACCAGAGCTGGAAGGGACCCTAGAGATTACTTAGTCCAATCCTTCACTTAACACATGAGAACACTGTAACTCAAAGAAGTAAAGAGACTTGTTCAAATCATACTGCTAATAAATGGCAAAGCCCAGATTCAATTCAGGTTCTCTGACTTTTCTATTCCTCTGCAGCTAAAACCTGGGCTCTCTACCAAATAAAAGAACTATATTGTTCTCCTTTGGTTTTTATTTTCTCTACCACAATCCTGTTCCCCATTTCACTAAACTTCTTATATTCACTTCCTAAAATGGAAAGGGAAGTGAGAAAGGTAAGAACATACCTCTGGCTTCACAAGGTCTAAGAATTCCAGGTGAAATTCATAGACGTTGTCTCCTTTGGCACCATGTCCCTGAGCTATAAAGAAATGTGAGTTATTGTAAACTTCAGCAGAGCAAAACCATCCCAAAGTCAGCTTGCTATAGTTCTTTCACACAAATATTAATGGGTCTTATCAAAATACGTGGGGACTTGTAAGCAGAGCTATTCAACAGCTACATAAGCCAAATCTTGGATGAAAGTTTATCTCCTTATGTCCTCTGATGATCAGTTTCACCATATTCACTTAATCTTCCAATGTGGCCTTGATGATACACACTGCAAGCAATAGGCAGGAAAAAGAATATAAAAGGCAAAGCCAGAAGTGCCACATAGATATAAATTTAACTTTCACATTTAGTTTAGCTCTAAATCCACAGCAGAGAAAAATCAGGTAGGTGTATCATCTTGACTGTGGTTAAGGAAAAGTTTCAGTGTACATGGAAATGCTGGATTGTCTCAGAGACAGCTCTGAAATTAAAACTTCCCAACCAGGGACAGAGAATGAAAGGAGAAGCTGACTTCTCCTTTAGCACATCCCAATGGAACAAGGAAAGAGAAATACAATCCTTCTCAGCTCATGGAGGACAGGTGGAACTGCGAGGAAGGTTCCTGTGCCCTGCCATAGCGCCTTTCCTCAAATCAAGCAGGTGCCACGCTTAGGTGCCAGTGACTGCTGGACACAGCAGCTGCTGGATATCCTTTCCCCTCCACTCTCTGACTTGTTTACCATTTGGTTCCCTCCTGGGATTCTCTTCCCTCATCTGGCCGTATGTAGTAGAACCTTCCTAATATTTGCTACAGGTGGCTATTATTTTCAAGGAACATAAATTGCTTTAGGTAGGACAGTCTATAAGCTCTAAGGGGCTACATACACTTTTATCACTTTAACTTCCTTTTAAATGTACATAACTCCCGGGCCGGCCCGTGGCTCACTCGGGAGAGTGTGGTGCTGATAACACCAAGGCCCCAGGTTCGGATCCCACATAGGGATGGCCGGTTCGCTCGCTGGCTGAGCGCGGTGCTGACACCACCAAGTCAAGGGTTAAGATCCCCTTACCGGTCATCTTTTAAAATAAATAAATAAATAAATTTACATAACTCCCCACAAGCCTGAGCTGCTGCCACCACTACTCTCATCTTGAAAAGCAGATACAAAAGCCAGGCTGTACTTTCATGCAAATATATCAGGGTAGATGAAATCTCACATAAAGTTCTTCACTCTCCAATAACCCCAAGAACTGGAAAAGAGAGAGAGCAGGGAGAATCCCACCCCATTAGGTGACAGTGAATACAGACCTACACTCAGGTAAATCAGTAAATCTGCTGATGAACTAAGAAAGTAGAGGCAGATTCACAGAATCAGGGACTATCAGAGCTGGAGAAGTCTTAGATTAGACATCCTCTAGAATGCAGTGTTTCCCAAACTGGTCTGCAAGTGTAATATTACAGAGCCACAAAGTCTCATCAGGAAAACTTTTATTTTTTGTTTTCATTATAATCTTTAAAAAAAGCAGTGTATTTGGATCATCTAAATGGCCACCTTATAATCAAGTACTGCCACACAAGGTCAGTGACTGTGTTTGCATCTGTGTTCACAGCTGCAATGGAGCCAAATATCATTTAACATGATCATATTTAATTCTTCACGTGTTTCTCAATCTGGAGTCCATGAGCCCTTAAGGGTCCTGTGGACATATTCTCAGATGTCCATGGGTCCTCAAGTTTGAGAAAGATTATAACCCAACACCTTCATTTTATAGGTCCAGAGAAGTCAATAACTTGTCCAAGGTAGTGGCAAAATCAGAGCTAGAAGAAAGATCTCCTGATTTCTAGCCCAGGATTCTATTCTTTTCACTGTATCTACTGTCTCTCCAAGGGCGAAGCTGAGTTTTAAACAAATTCTCTGATTTATAATCATATATTTCAAAACAATCTAGTTTGTCCCAAGAGTATCAGAGGGTTAAGCATCGATAAAAAGTGAATAAAACAAATAGATAAAAATAAAGAGAAACCACCACCATGCCTCCTTAACTGTGTAGAGAGTTGGGAACATTTGCCTGGATACCGACCTTTGAAATGCAGCACATTTTCAGTGATGCTGATGGCAGGGTTCTGTGAAGAGACCAAGGACATAAGAAGTCATTTTAACGAAGAGAAAAATGAAATTAAACCAGGGGCTTCTTCCTACCATCCTGTCCCCTTGGGGACTCGACCTCCTACCCTGTGCCTAGTCATTTATTCACATCTCTGTGTAGGGTTTCTCTGTCTGTCTGTACCTATCTGAGATTGTAGGATCCTGCAAGGAGGACCCTAAACTGCTCTAACTGTGCAGAACCATCAGGTACTGAATCAGTCCATTCGGATAATGGCAAATCACAAAAAGTGCTATGTGAGGTATCATGGGGGAATACACAAATCTCTAAGACTCAGTTTCGGAGGTGTAGAACAGAGCATTCAGTGGAACAGATGAGTCATCTCCTGTAAGAAGATATCAAGTGGGGGGCAAGGGCTTTTGCCACACCCCCCTGACAGCTGCACCCAGCCTGGCAATGATCAAGCCACCGCCGGAAGCCCCCTGGTCTCCCCTGTGGGAACGAGGGTGGTGCCACAGGCCTCAATCCCGCCCCTCCTCCTGCCTCCTTCCATCCCATTTCCTTCCCCTTTCCCCTCTCTCCCCTCCCCTCTCTCCCCCTCCCTCCCAACTGCTCTGCAACAACTTCATAGAATGTAAAAAATATATATATTAATTTTTTAAAAAGATATCAAATAGTTATCAAGGAATACATGTTCAAGGCCAAAAGCAGTAAAAGGCACTGTCACAGGAGCTAAGAAGGGAGCAAGCACAATGGGGAACAGAATGGTTAGAAAAAGCTTTGACAAAGGTGAGACCTGTACTACAACATGAAGAATAAATTAACTCCAACGGGGGAGGGAAGGGCTGAGAATTACAAGATTTGGAAATGAAACATGCTGTGGCTGTGGTTGTAACTTGGCCTCAGACTCCAGACTCTTTTAATCCCTAATCAAATCAAGACTAGAAGAGTTGAGAATTCCCCAAATTGCTCATTTATTCCTCTTCCCCTGGTATTTACACCCTTGTGTGGTCCCCTCCCACAATGATGTCAGGGCTGCTCTGTGTAACCAATAGAATACAATGCAAGCAATGGTTAGATCATAAACGGCATTGCAGCTTCTGTCCAAGCCTCTTGGACTGCTCACTTCGGGCAAAGCAAGACACCATGTTATGACAACACTCAAGCAACCTGGTGCAGAGGCCTATGTGGGGAACTCACTTGTGGACACCAACTTGCCAACAAAGTGAGTAAGACATCCTTCAAGTGGATACTGCCATCATACAACCATCATATGACCTCAACCATCACATGACTTCAACCACTGCTGATATCTGACTATAACCTCATGAGAGATCCTAACCCAGAACAACCCAACAGAACCCTTCCTGAAGTCCTAACCCACAGAAACTGAGATAATAAATGATTATCCTTGTTTTAAACCACTACATATGGTATGATTTGATATGCAGCAATAGATAACTAATAAAATTAGAATTACTTCTTTAAATGTTTGGTAGAACTCCTTGCTGAAACCACTTGGACCTAGAAATTTCCTTGCATAAAGATTTTTAACTACTGATTCAATTTATTTATTTATTTTTATTTTTATTTTTTTTCAAAAATGACTGGTAAGGGGATCTTAACCCTTGACTTGGTGTTGTCAGCACCACGCTCACCCAGTGAGCCAACCGGCCATCCCTATATGGGATCCGAACCAGCGGCCTTGGTGTTATCAGCACCACACTCTCCTAAGTAAGCCACGGGCCAGAGAAAAAATAAAGAGATAACACAAGATAATAAAAAGGTTAAGTAAAAAAAAGTAAATAAAAATAAAAATAAATTCCTGAAATGGAGATTCAGAAGTCATTAATTCTCAGACTTTATTCTTTTCTAATGTAATTATTTAAGAATATAAATTTCCTTTGTGTGTAAAATTTGTGAACAAAAAAAAAAGAATATAAATTACCTGCCAAATCCTACTTTGGCTGCACCTCTCAAGCTTTGAATGTAGTATTCTCATTATCATTCAATCTAAAATACTTTTTAATTTCCATTATCACTTTTTCTTTGAAACATGGGTTGAAAAGTATTTCTTAATTTCCAAACACATGGGATTTTCTAGTTGTCTTTATGTTATTAATTTCTACATCAATTGCACTGTGATGAGAGAACATTCTGTGTGATTTCAGTCCTTGTAAATTTATTGAGACTTTGCATAAAGATTTTTAACTACTGATTCAATTTATTTATTTATTTTTATTTTTATTTTTTTTTCAAAATGACTGGTAAGGGGATCTTAACCCTTGACTTGGTGTTGTCAGCACCACGCTCACCCAGTGAGCCAACCGGCCATCCCTATATGGGATCCGAACCAGCGGCCTTGGTGTTATCAGCACCACACTCTCCTAAGTAAGCCACGGGCCAGAGAAAAAATAAAGAGATAACACAAGATAATAAAAAGGTTAAGTAAAAAAAAGTAAATAAAAATAAAAATAAATTCCTGAAATGGAGATTCAGAAGTCATTAATTCTCAGACTTTATTCTTTTCTAATGTAATTATTTAAGAATATAAATTTCCTTTGTGTGTAAAATTTGTGAACAAAAAAAAAAGAATATAAATTACCTGCCAAATCCTACTTTGGCTGCACCTCTCAAGCTTTGAATGTAGTATTCTCATTATCATTCAATCTAAAATACTTTTTAATTTCCATTATCACTTTTTCTTTGAAACATGGGTTGAAAAGTATTTCTTAATTTCCAAACACATGGGATTTTCTAGTTGTCTTTATGTTATTAATTTCTACATCAATTGCACTGTGATGAGAGAACATTCTGTGTGATTTCAGTCCTTGTAAATTTATTGAGACTTGCTTTAGGAAGCAGTATACAGTCAACTTTAGTAAATGTTCTTTTTTTTTTTTTTTTTAAAGATGACCAGTAAGGGAATCTTAACCCTTGGCTTGGTGTTGTCAGCACCACACTCTCCCAAATGAGCTAACCGGCCACCCCTATATAGGGATCCGAACCTGTGGCCTTGGTGTTATCAGCACCAAACTCTCCCCAGTGAGACATGGGCTGGCCCTAACTTTAGTAAATGTTCTGAGTAAACTTAAAAGTAATGTGTTTTCTGGAGTTGTAGAGTGCAGTGTTCTGTATATGCCCATTAGATTTACTGTTAATTATTTGGTCACATAATCTATATCCTTACTGAATTTTGTCTTCTTAATTACTGAGAAATCACACTATTGTGAATTTGTTTATTTCTCCTGTATTTAATTTACATATTATCAAGGCCGTGTTACTAGGTGCATATAACTTTAATACTGTTACATCTTCCTGGTAAATTGAAATCTTTATTATATACTAATCTTTTTATTTCTAAAAATACTTTTTTCCTAAGTCTATTTTATCTGATTTCAGCATAGCTATACCAGAGAGAATCTGCATTTGCTTCTGTCAGGGACCTATGGGCCCTACCAGTTGAGACCACCAAAAACTAAACTCATGGCTTGAGGGTTTTGGGATCTCCTAAACTATGTGAATTTGGCATGCATAAACTTTTGAGAACCAACTTACAGTTTTAACCTCTCAAGGACCTTTTCATCTACTTTGCACAGTGCTAAGGCAACTAGAGGTAGGGAGAGAGGATGGGCTTACTTCTAGTTCATTTGAATCCTAAGTATATAGTCCTCTGAAGTACAGTTATGGGGAAGAAGATTTTCTATTACATGTCATACTTTTGGTGGGTCTTGTGCTTTGATCTTAACTTTTATCCCCTGCACCTTGTTGGGTTGTCAAAAACAAAGTTCATGATCCCTTAGAGCAAATGTTCTCACAGTAAAAGCAGTTTCAGTGGTCAACTTACCTGTCTGAGTTCCAAATTTCATTTCTACCTTGTTGACCTTTTGATATTTTTAAGATGCTTTTATTCAAAACTTTTAGTTTTTAACAGAAAGATTAATCTGCACAATGTAGTATGTTATTTGCTAGAAAAGGAATTGTGCCTTTGCTTATGCAAAAAGGAGTGGATGGGGAAAAATGACTTTGAACTCAGTTAGACTTGGGATCATATCCTAGTTATATCATTTCTTATTTAATTTTTAATTTACTCCTATCATTCATTTTCAAATCCACAGCAACTGCCATCAGTTTAAAAATAACAATAAAACCACTTCACAAGACTGTCGTGAGAATTAAATTATAGTGACATACAAAGACTTTGGCAACTAGTAAGCAGTCATATTCTGGCTGCTTTTATTTCTCTAGCTAGAGTGTTCTTCTAAGCTTCCATTCCACTATTTATCTTTCAAAGTCCAAGTCAATTTTAATTCCTCTTCCTTCCTTTTCACCCCCAACATCCAACATCAAAATTAATAGATTTTGTTCAGTATAGTTTAGCATTGCAAGTATGCACCTATTAAAATAATATTTTCGGGGCCGGCCTGTGGCTCACTCGGGAGAGTGCGGTGCTGAAAACACCAAGGCCGTGGGTTTGGATCCCATATAGGGATGGCCGGTTGCTCACTGGGTGAGTGTGGTGCTGACAACACCAAGTCAAGGGTTAAGATCCCCTTACCGGTCATCTTTTAAAAATAAATAAATAAATAAATAAATAAAAATAAAAATAAAAAATAAAATAAAATAAAAAAATTAATAGCTTCCTTACTACTTTGTATTCACCTTTATTATAACATTTATCACACTGTTCTGTAATTATTGTTTACTGGTTTATCTGTCCCTCTAGACTTGAGTTCCATGATGACAGGGAGTGTGTCATATTAATATCTATATCCCTAAAGCCCTCAATAACTGTTCAGTTGGTTGAAATTAAATCCTTTCACCCCATTTGCACAATCTCTAACAGAACTAAAAAGCATTCAATGAACTATCTGCTACCTGAGTTTCCTTTCTCATTAAAATCATTAGTATTCAGGGCCAGCCCCATGGCTCACTCGGGAGAGTGCAGTGCTGGTAGCGCCGAGGCCACGGGTTCGGATCCTATATAGGGATGGCCGGTGAGCTCACTGGCTGAGCGTG